CCAGCGCCCCTCGATCTCGGAATTTGGAAAGCAAGCCCCGGGAAGACGAGGCACCTCGGCCGTCTGTGGCAGCATGTCCCGCTGGGAAGGGTCCCTCCTGAACCTGTCTACTCTTTGAAACGGTCTACACACGACAGCGAAGAGATTAGAAAGTAGAATTCATAATGTTTAGACACCAACCAAAAGGTCAAGTAAAAGGATATAGTCAATCCTATTGCATGGAAACTGCTGGACAATAGGAGATCTGGTCAGAAGTCTAAGCGAACCTTGTGGCATTGCCAGCCCAATAACTTGTCAAGGGTACGGGTTCAACGAATTACATAATTCTACCAAGGCCACAGAGACCTGACAAGGACAAGTCCCAACATCAGAGGGATATACCGCATGAGAAGAATCGGGAGTGCCAGGGGTGGAAACCTGTCACCTGAGCAGCCGGTGCGCAGGCACGAGCAGGTGCGCACGCATGCGCTCAGAGCTCCATGTGTGCCGGCCCTTTGTGCCTAACACTTGGATTCCCTGTTCATGCAGCCCCACCCCTTAGAAGTATTTCCAGAACTTAGGTTACTCCCCGTAGCAGCTCTGCTTCACACACGAATACTCGAAGTTTATTAAGCATGACCTATTTATCAATGACTGAGTTCCATTAACCTCTGCTTCTGCTCGGGTCGGACTGTTCCGGCCGCCCCCCTACTGTGAGCAGAGGGGTGGTCACCGAATCTGACCCTACGACACCGAGCTAGGCGCTCCAGCACCAAGAAAGGAGACCCCGAGGCCCCCCTCAAAACCGGGGTGGGTTTCCCGTCTTGAATGCTCCCTGAACCTCAGAAGCCACGTCCAGCAGGGGAAACAGCTGGCCTCAAGGATCTTGAAGAAGCAGCGGTAATCAGAAAAACCTACGCTGAACTCGACCCCGGAGGCTGCGAAGGTTCCTCCACGCCCGCCTTTGCTCTAGACCCTAGTGCGTGCGTGAGGCGCAGAGGGCCTGGGTGGAGCCGTGGTGCACGAATTCAGGGGACTGCCAAGGAGCCAGGAGGCGACCAGCATCTGGGGATACGTCCCAGGATAGCTCAGTTCTCTCGGAGTGTGTGTTGGGGGGGGAGGGGCTGCTCCCACCTCCTGCTCCTTAGAGCGATTTCTGGTCCTCCCATTCCAGGTCAGAAAACGCCACCTTTGTCGTTTCGGCTTGCCAAGTCCTTTCTGGAAAACGCCACGTTCCCCCCTTTCACTCAGTGTTGAATATCAGGTTCCTACAGTTTAGAGAAGAAGGGAGCCTGAAGTAAATCTTAGGGTGGACAGGGTTGAGGTGAGGATACCATGTGGGGCAGGCTCTGCCTGGCTCCTGGGGTCCTTGGTGGGCGCCCCCCCCAGAAGGGCCATAATCAGGACAGCGGCGATTGGCATTTCTCGTCTTATGAATCGGCGATGTGTAGGAATGGAGAGACATTTTGGAAGAACCACAACCGTAGTCGCACATGAAGGCTGACCGTTTCAATGCTAAAAAGCGTGGGACGGGGAGTACACTTAGGTCATCATCCTGCTGCCTGGCCTTGTCAGACAAGTGGGTACTCCCACCCGCCTCCTCAGCGCTTTCACTCTGAGGGAAGAGGGTGATTCTGGCGGGAGGAGATGAGGTCAGCGGTGCCCCCTCAGGCGGTCCTGTTTCATTCAGTCAGAGTCCCAGGTTCCCAGGACATAGCAACCTGGAGCTCTGCCTTCTCTTTTCTCAGATACCTGACAGTAAGACTTGTCCAGTGAGTAGATTAGAAAGGGATATGGAACTTGTTCCCCATACTTTAAAGCAGGGAAAAAGCCTTGTTGTGATGAGAAGAAACAAAACCTGTTTGGTGACTTGTCATTTCAATGAAAACACGAACCTTTCACAGGTGAGCGTCCCCCGCCCCCCGCCCCCACTCCCCTTCCTCCTGCCACCCAGGAGTGTGGGATCGCAGGCCACAGGCAGGGCAGGAAGAAAAACAGAAAAACAAGCCGTGCTCCTTCACAGAACACAGGAGTTGGTGCAAACATTTAAGAACCCAAGGGAGCAGCTTAGGAGGAAAAAGTTTAGTAAACTTGTTTTGCAAGGGTGATAAAATGCTCAGAAACAGTGCTTCATTCTGCCGCCTCCCTTAGGAAAACAGGGTGGCAGCTATCAGTTTCTTGATCCAAGTAAATTGTTTTCATATTTGTCTTAGTTCTCTCTCTCCATTCCTCTTCAATAAACATAAAGACTGATTTCTTAGATTCCCTGTACAAAAACACCACCTCCAAATCCTCTGAAAGGTCAAATTCCACATAGCCAGACCTGTGGGGATTTAATGAAGACAGTATGTTTCTGATTCAAGTCTAAGTGTTCTGTAAGGCCTTGCTTATCAGCTCCACAAAGCTCTTCATGAGAGCTTGTTTCAAGTCGGGGGACTACATCTGGAGCTCCCCATCAGGAATTCTGGGAAAAGAATCATATTTTGTCAGTCAGAACAAGGAACCAGCACACAGCTTTGGCTGGCCCCACACGGCCTGGGACATCCATCTGAGGGACTGCCCTACCTGTGCCTTTCTCCTCAACAAGCCTCACAAGAGGAGAATGTGAGAGAAAAGCCAAGATCAACATTTCCGCCAGTTTTGTGAAGATAAGTGCGTAGATGGGAACTAAGTGTGGGGAAGGGAAGAGAGACTGAACAGAGTTACCCTGGTGACTGTAGAGTCTGCAGATGAGACTCTAGTTGTGCCATTTGTACATTACCATCCTAAAAGCAAAGGACGTCCCCACCCCTGAATTTTTAAGTATTACGATAAAGAGTTTCATAAAAATGGAGACTGATTTACAAGTATCACTTGAACAGGAAAAAAACAAAACAAAACTGGGCTCTTAAGATTTGTCTTTACTTTTTATTACAATTTTGTTTTGAAATATGATCCTTAAAATTCCCTTGTAGGTGACCATTTAAGAATGTCCTGTCACGTAGTTATGGCAAGGAAACTAATGGCCCTCAGCAAACTAGATGTTTTTGTTGACATGGTATGTACACAGATTAGTTCACTAGCAGCTGTAATTTGAAACTTGTACAAATCGAATGACTTTAATTACTAGGGTCTTGGGCACAAGAAATGACTAGAGTAATAGTCAATATAATTATAGATAAATATAATTATGGTAAAAGAAATTATAAACCAATAGGAGGAAAAAATATAACCATTTAAAAGAAAATAATTGAGAATAAGTATAAAATGTGAAAACAAAGTTATACTTAAGATAAGTTTCAGTTTATTTTTCAAAAATGTCATGAGAACAAATATACTATATATAGTCAAGTTCACTTTAATCACAATCAAGACATAGAATAAGATAAAAAGAAATAATCCTTGTATATAAGGATATTCTCATCTATATATAAAGGGTATTTACAATGTCAGCCATATCAAGACCCTCTGTTTTTAAACACTGTATATGGCAGCGCATTTTGTAAAAAGGTATACGGCCCTCAATCCTTTAACCAAATCCAATATAAACAAGAGTAAAATAAAAACTTTTTAAAACCTGTAAAATCAAAGCACCTATTTAAATTAAAACCATCAAGAATCAATGAGATTATTTCAAGAGGATAAGGGCTGGATGAGACACTAAGGAAAACATTACAATCATTTTATGTAACTTACAAGGCAAATAAAATACTATAAAAAACATCCTTCACAGCACATTTAAAAGTTTAAATAATACTCAACAGGAAAAAAGCAGATTCTGTGACAGTTGTTGAGACATAGTAACAAAAGGGCGTTAACAGCTAAGTGTGGCCCCTTCCCGGTCCTATTTTTAGAGGTTTAAGATGCCAGCCTTAAATAGTTTTGATGATAATGCTTGTGGCTACGACTCAGCGTGTAAGACATAGTCTCAGAAAAACAGTTCTTTTCATGCTGTGTCACCTAGTTCGGTGTTTTTTCCCTTTTAAATTAAACCTGAGGGCTTGCTCAAGGAACATGACAGTGGGGCGGGGGGTGGGGGGGAGAGGGTGGATCTGAAGAAACTTTTGCTTCCCACTGTTTACAAGCTATCTATCTTGGACTGTGTAAAACTAAAATTAGGCGATAAATTAAAATTAGGTTAAAATTAGGTGATAACTTTAATCTCTAAAAATGTTCTTCACTAACAAAGGAACTATCTTGCTTCTCTGGAAGCTAACTTGGAATATTTAATTGGGAACAGAACACACATTGCAAAGGAAGAAGTACTTGGGTTCACAGAAATATTGTGGAGCTGTGTCCTTAAAAGACTTCCATTGTAGGAAGTAACAATTTCTGTGTCATCTGTCTCAATGCTGAGAGGTTGTGTCTATCAAGAGTAGAGGGTTTTAAGAAGTTTATATATGTAATAACTAACGTGTATGTGCACACACACCTTTATATGTGTGTTAACATGTTTCGATAAACATCATGTACATGTATATACACAATACACGCTCATACACAGATCCGCCAGTAACAGACCCTGTAGTCTGACGAGACGTGCTGTCTTCAAATTACCACCTTTCCAAACTCAACCTTTCAATTCCACTCCCATAACTCAAAATTACAGTAAATCATACACTAAAGGTTTCCTTTCAATTTTAATAAAAAGAAGTGGGCAAACCAAATTACATCAAGAAACAAAGGCATATCTAGGGCTGACATACCACCCCCTTCAAAAACAAACCAAAAAACAAAAAAGTATTTTAAGATACTATGCAAATTTAACACATATTTTTTATTTTCTTAGAAAAGGAAGAGAAAGCGCTTTCTTAGAGAATTGAGCATAAGAGGCCTAAACTGGCTCTCATGTCATGTGCACGGGATGAAAGCCTAGTTTAGAGACTCAAGAAAAACAAATCAGACCCAATGCCCTCCTCCTAAATCCCTCCCGAAATGGACGGCAGTTACACATCATAGGAACTTACAGGTCTTCAAGGTTATTCTCTGAGTTCTTGGGAAAAGGAAGACACATGGGCCTGGACCCTCGGTTACAGGGCTTCGCAGCTCAGCGGCGGTGGGGGTGGGGTGCCCTCACGTTCACAGGTCCTCGGCCCGGACTAATGAGTCCTACCCAGCACGGTCATCCTAGTCCTCACCAGGGCGCAGCCATTGGGGCTGTCGCCACTGCTCTTGACATCCGCGCAGCCATTGTAGGCCAAACGGCCTGGCCAGCCCCCTCCTCCCGCGGCCCCTTGCTGTCCATCACAAGGTCTCCTTCAGCAGGCCGAGCTTCCGCAGGGCCTCCCGGCGGGCCTCCTCCGTGGAGCCTCGGCCGGCGAACTGGACGGTGATGCCCTGGGGTCTGAACCCCACGGCCCTGGGCAGCGAGCCCGACCGCGTCCGGGCATCCTGGCCGCAGTCCGGGTGCTGGCGCTCGTAGAGGCTCTTGCTGGCGTTCTGGCGAGCGAGTTTACTGGTGAGGGCCGGGTCCGGCCGGAAGGTGACAGTTTTCCCGATGGAGGCGAAGGCGCTGGGCTCACTCCTGAGGACCTCGTGGATGCTCTGGAAGCCGTTGGCCAGGGCCGGGCACCGCTCCGTCTGCACGCCTCGCGACTGCTGAGCGCCCGCCCGCCCTGCGGCCCGCGCGGACTCGGCTTCCCGGACGGGGCCCGGCTGGCCCCGGTCACGCGTCCCCTGCTCCGGGGAGCTGCTCCTCTGCTCGGGGAGCTCCCACTTTGGGGCCCGAGCCTCCGCGTCTCCCACGGAGAGGAAGGAGGCGCCGCTCATGTTGGCCAAGACGCGGGCTTTGCGCTCCTGCACGCTCACGGCCGCCTTGGAGATGGTCTTGTTGTACTCGCGGCCCGCGCTGTTGGTCACGCTGATGTTGCTCGGGAAGCGCTGGGCCCTGGGTGCGGGCGGGGCCGTGTGTCGGGGCGCCGCGCGGTCGCCATTTCGAGGGGCTCCGGCAGTCAGGGTCCTCCATTCGCCCGGCCTGCCCTCCTTCGAGGGGGATGTGGGCGAAAGCGCTTCATTTCCTGCCAACTTCTCAGAAATCTTCTGGGCGATAACGAGCGGCGTAGGAACGGAGCGGGGCAGCTTCGGGTGCTCCGCTGGGGAAGGGCAGAGCCGCTCTTTCCGCGGCTGGGCTGGCGGGGCCACAGGCGGGGACGGCGGCCGGAGGGCCTCCGGGGCTGCCCCGTCCGCCACAGACGGGGCAGGCGCCGCTGCATCCTGTGCGCTGCGTTCAAGGATAGCAGGGTCTTCCTTTCCAACAGGTCCCGCCCCTGAGAGATAGGGAGAATCCTCATAAGCTACCACCTTATGCAAAAATAAACCCATGACATTTCCTTTCACTGAACCGAAAAGGGTCTCAAAGGGACATAATGCCAACTTCAACAGTCCCTCCTGCACGCTCGACTCCCTGTATCCCTGCCCCCTGGCCTAGTGACAGAGAAGGTGGGGCAGGAGCCTCATGACCACGGGATGAGGAGGGATGAGCTTCAGGGTGAAAGGCTGGCAAGTCAGAAGTGGCCAGCGCCTCGGGAAGCATGAGAAGCAAGCTCCCAAGGACCCATGGTCCGCAGGCACCTAATAGGAGGAAACAGGAACTGACCTAATTAGGGGAAGTTACAAAGGGGGAACGGAGGCCGGAAGGCTGTGTGGCACACACCAACCACCCATCAGGCCTTTCTGGATGAAGGATCGTTGGATGTGTCACCTTCCCTTAGAAAAGAAAATGTTTTAGAAAACAAAATTCCCCGAGTGGAATTTAATACGCCAGCCTCGGAGCGTTTACTCTATCCTGAACATACACCCATCGCAGATCACTTAACACTTTTCTGCACTTATGTTTCTCCACCTGTCTCCTGCGGCAAAACTGGAGGCCATGTCTTATTTACCTTTATCTGTGCAGAATTTCACAGGACACTCCCACAGCGCAGGCACTTAAAATTGGCATGAAAATGTCATGTTAGAGAATTGATGGGCAAGGTGGCTTACTTTCAAAATGTGTTTTCCTTGGCACAATTCTATGATCTGACATTTTTAAAGGATCAGTTGGTTCAAATTAATTTTAGGAACTATATTTTTCAAAGAAGTGCGATAAAAACAAGAAATTCATATTAAGGCTCTTCTTTGATGAGATGGCTGCAAACTGAGCTCCATCTTTGGAATCTATAACCATAGTATGTGAAATTCTGTGTAACACACAGCCTTGTTTACAAATACGGGGGGAAAAATTTCTAGAGGCTCGTGACAAATGGCAGTATTTTGTAGTGTGCAGGGCAAAAATACTTTCTCTTCTATTTTTTTTTTTCTCTCCCTTTCCAGTCCTTATCTCTTGACCACATTCATTTCCAATCTTTTCCAATTAGGAAAAAAACTGGAAGAAAATTTTCTCCTTGTCTATCTCCTCTGGTTCTATCACAGAACTCTTGACAAAGAACATACCTCTCCTCTGATGCCGCCCTGAGTCAAGGTACAAAGCAGATGCTGACCTGAATTTTTGTTCTGACCTTTTTCTGTTTTCCTGAACCAGCTGATTCTTCATTTGAAAAGTCATGCTACAGAAATAAGGGTATAATCTTGTTCAAAAATTGAGATTAAACTTCAAGGGCTAAAACACAAGTACCATGTATGTTTTCTTTATAGAATGAATTATTATCTGGAAGCCATTTCCAATTTTCTTCCATATATATATGTAAAAATATAAACAACCTATTTGTATGCTTGATTAGTCTCATTCTTAATTCCAGCCCTTTTGGAATCTTCCTTCATGTGTCATCGCCTTAATATACCAAGAAAGCGTCTTCTTGGTTGGACAAACTACCAATGGGATACGCCTACCCTGTGAAACTCTGATAAGCTCCAGTAGCCTCCAGACTGGCGAACCTGGGGGAGCCCAACAGGAAGTAGCCCTCTGTGTCTTGTAACACTAACAGACCAAGCTGGAGGCCTGGGGACCTGCGCCGCCTCCTTACCTGCTGCTTCAGGCACATCCGGCAGGCACTCGGGTTCTCCAGCTGCAGGACCTGGCTGCACTAGGTCGATGACATCTTCTGGCTCCGAGTGACTGGAAGTGCTTCCTTCCAGAGACCGTGGGGAGTGGCAGTGAACCCCACTGTCACATAGGACTTGCTCCTCAAAGTCGTCCTCCAGGGAATCAATAGTCTCTTCAAAAAACAGAATGACATCCTTTTCCTCATGTGTGAGGTACTTCAGGCTCTCATCGTCCTATACAGTAGGTTTAGGGATTGGGAATGGAAGAGATAAAACAACATGGAAGAGAAAAATACACGACTAAGTCGGGATCTACACAGAGCTCAGGGTAGGGTTCACGGCACTCTGAGATTTCCCACCGGGAATGTGCTGTTCAGCTTGCCTCAATGACACACCTGTATGTCCCCCACCCTTTTACCTGCATGAAAAAGGCTGTCAAAAAGGTATAGAAATAGAGGATCTTAGACTCTATTATCAGCCCTCGTCTCGTGGCTCCTCATGAGCGAGTGACAGGAAACAGCTCTCCCTCAGCGCCTCCCTGGACGCGGCGCACATCTTACTGTCCTCAGACACACTTGCTTCTCCCAAAGTAGCAACGCGAGAGATCTCTGGGTAAAGATGCTTAACCGGAGACCACGTATTTATCTCTTCTTCCAGAAACATCACTAAAACAATAATGGGATTTATTTTGTTTAAAGGCACAAATCACAAAGACAAAAATAATAGGAAAAGAGATGACAGCAACAACCTTTGGGAAATTAGATGCAGGACAGGTTTAACTGATTCAGAAGCCCCAAGAAAGGTGAGTTTTAATCAGCAGTGGGGAAAGCCCGTAATCAACCTGCTGAGCACTGGTGGGCCCTCTAGGGACTAGAGTCCCCCTCCGAGTACAAGAGGGCCCCCCGAGTGCTGGAGGGCTCCCCTGAAACCCAGGCACTGGGGGTGCTGAGCAGTTCTGAAGTGTGGCAAAGATGGGATTGAAAAGAGAACAGCTTGAAGGGCTCTTTCAGAAGCAATTGGGTCGCCCCAGCAGAAAACTGGAAGTTTTTTCTTAAAGAAGGTAAAAGAGACATTTGAAATGGGGGACATCAAGCAGAGTTGACGGTAAAAGACCTTACCGAAAACAGAAGTAAATGAAGCCAAATTGATACTCTCTGCACAAAGTAAATGAAGCCAAATTGATACTCTCTGCACAAAAGATTAGAAGAGTCTCTGGGGATTTGAATGGTCCAAGGACCAAGACAGGCTGACACCATGGTTCCCCCCAATGAAACTGCTCCGCAAAGTCGCTCTACAGTGCAGATCGGTCAGCAAACCCCAGAAGAGAATTTTTAATCAGATTCTTAACATCCTAGTCTTAAATGTGTACATATAGCTAATGATCATCAAGCAGCTGAAAAAGACATTTCACATGAAAAACATGTCAAAAATAAAAAGAGAGAAAAAGAAAGCAACTTATAAGAAACAAACTGCAGACTGATGAAATTTCAAAAGATGATCATTAATATCCTCAGAAAGATAAAAGGAGATACTGAATCCATAAACAAGAATATGATGCTATTTAAAAAAAAACTAAAAGACAAAAAAGAGCTCTTAGAAATTAAAACTAGGACAGCAGAAATGAAAAACTAAATAAAATCCTAGGAGATAAAGCAGAGACACTGGAAAAGTACAAAAAAAGTAAAAAAAAAAAAAAAAAAAATTAATAGGAAAGAGAAGAAAACTAGAGGAAAAGTGTGGAAGGGCCAACATCTGAATAATCAAACTTCCAGAAAAAGAAATAAAAAAGAAGGGAAGACATTATCAATATTAACACGTAAAATTATGAAAGAAAATGCCCCTAAACAGAAGGATCAAAAGGGGCCATCAGAGTAACCTAATGAACAAGAACAACATGGACTTATGGCAAGGCACATACATCACCATGACGTTTCAGTACACCAAAGACCAAGAAAGGATCCTGGAAGCTTCTCAGAGTGAAGCGGCCACACAACAAAAGATCAGAATCCAGAACAGCAACAGACTTCTCAGCAGCAATATTGGAAGCCGAAGAAAACGTTGTGATCCCTTCAGAATTCAGAACTAGAATTCTATACCTAACCAAATTTCGGTTAGGCTAGAATAAAGATGTTTTTAAGACATGCCAGGTCTAAACAGCAGATCGCCCTTGTCTGCCTTTCCCTGGAAGCTACCACAGGGAGCGGGGTTGTTCTCCTAGACAACGGAAGAAACCAAGAAAAGACACAGGAGCCAGGAAACGGGAGACTGAGAGGGAATCCCAGGGTAATGGTGGCGTCCCCAGGAATGACCACTCTAGTTCAGAGCAGGCCCGTGGGCAATCCAGAACATGAAGCAAGCAAATAAAACCAAAATAACTACGAAGCACAGAAAAAACTGAAGCTATGTGAGAAAGCAGGTATCTATGAGTCAATTTACCTATGACAATCACACACACACGTATTCGTAGTAGTAAGAAAACAAGCAAAACAAGAAACAACCTAAAATGTCCAATAATAAGAGCATTAACATTAAATCATGGCACCATTCGCAAATGGAATATTATATAGCCATTTTAAATGGTGTTTTAAAAAGAATATGATAGTTTTCCCCCAAAAAAGTGTTCATGTTTCACTGTTCCCTTCAAGTCCTTGTCCACATGCATACATATTTGCATAAATAATATGTACAAGTTATATAGTCTGCTTTTTACCTATAGTTATTCTAATTGCTTTTATGTGTAGTCTCAATAACTACTGACTGTGTGATAGTTATATTTATTAACTGGCTATTACAAATTCAAGGAATACAATGTTAAGTGAAAAAAATGCAGATAGAAAAATAGAGTTGTCTTGATTTGGTTTAGATATATGCGTACTTAATATGTACACAGATACGAAAATACTGAAAGAATATATAGTCAATCGTCAAAATAGTGAGGGGAAATGAAGGTTAAGTAACAAAGAAACAGTATGAATTAAAAGTCATTGAATTTGGTGAGTGGAAAATGGGAGAGGGACACAGGTAAGGCAAATGCTTTTCATGAACCTTATAAAACTATTTGACTCTATACTGTGCTCATGACCTTGGACAAAACAATAAAAAATACGGTGGAAGCAAAGGTGACTAAGAGCTACTCCACCTGGTGTGGAGTCATGCTTTTCATACTGTGACTGAGAGGTACTCAAATGCCTCTCCAACGCACCTAACGCTCAGGCCCATCACGGGGCCTGTAGTTTCCACAGTTTGTCTTTTACTTTTCTTTCACATAAGGCACAGTATATATTTGTTTTGGGAATGATTAGCCCAAGAATACATGCAAATTTCTCACACTAGCCTGGCCATATTAGCTGAAAAGTCAATGACTCAGAAGACTCTCTAGAGCGTGGGTTAGGTCAGAAGATGTAATAGAATACTGCTGTAATAGAATACTGCTAGAGGGATATCTACAGCGTGGGTTAGGTCAGCACATAGAACAGAAGACTGCTGGGGAGGATAAGCAATACATAGCCACTGGATATAAACCTGTATATAAAATTGCTGGGTCATAAGATACGTGTCGTCTTTGGTAGCTACAGCCAGTTTTCTGAATTGCTGTACTAAGTTACACTCCCACCAGCAGGCCCATTGCTCTGCAGCCCTGTGTGACAGGTATGTGCCAGTGTCCCATTCTGATTTCCAGTCCATTCCCAATCAGATTAGCGGTATTAAGCATTTTCCCCCATAATATTTAATTGGCCATTTGGAGATCCCATTATGAAGTGCCTGTTCAAGTCTTTTGCTTATTTTTCTACCAAGTTGTCTTTAAAAACATAATTTATAGAATTATATATACTAGATACAAATCTTTTGTTGGATATATTTATTGCAAATATCTTCTACTCACTGGCTTGCTCTTTCTCTTTTACTGGGGTCTTTTGATGACTTTTCCTTAATTTTAATGTGCTATAGTGTAGTGATCTTTTCTTTCATGGTTAGAGCTTTCTGTGTCCTGTTTAAGGAACCACTATTTACTGCATGGTCATGAACATAATTCACCAATGTTTTATTCTAGAAGCATTATTGTATTTAACCTCCATATTTAGTGCCATAATCTATCTGGAATGAACTTTTGTGTATGGCGTGAGGTCAAGATCCACTGTTTTCTAAATGGATATCCAGCTGTCCCAACGCCACTTTTTGAAAGACCATCCTTTCTCCACTGCAGGTCTCTTTGGTTGTAAATCAGGTGACAGTACATGTGTCGGTCTGTTTCTGGGTCTTTGTTCTGTTCATCTGTCTACTTGTTTGTTTGTGTACTCATAAAACACTGCTTTAATTATTATAACTTTATGGTAAGTCTCAGTATCTGGTAGTTTAAGGCCCTCCAGTTTTGCTGTTCATTAGGTGTGTGCTAGCATTTCTTGGCCCTTTTTAGTTCCATATAAATTTTAGTATCAGCTTGTCAGTTTCCATACACATATAAATATACACACCACCCCTCCCTGCTTGGACGTGGATTGGGACAGCACGGAAGTTCCTTGGATTGAGGAGAACTGATGTTTTACAATAGTTTTTGAATCCACAAATAAGGTATATGCCTTCACTTATTGAGGTTCGTGACTCCCAAAGTGTGGTCCCTCGACCAGCAGCAGCAGCAGCAGCAGCAGCACCTGCGAATGTATTAGAAATGCAAATTCGTGGGCTGCATCTTAGACTACTGAGTTAGAAGCTCTACCAGGTGGGCCTTCCATCCGTGTCTGGGTGATACTGATGCACTCAAGTCCGATGTGCACTGATTTGGTTCTTTAATTTCTCACGATAATATTTTTGTAGTTTCTAGTATGAGATTTTACACAGCGTTTGTTATTTGTCTTCTTAGGTATTTGATGATTTTTGATGCTATTACAAATTGTATCACTTTTTAAATTTTCTAATTTTTGCTAGTATACAGAAATAAAGCATATTGACTTTGTAATAAGTAAATTTAACAAATTTGCTGTGTAATTATTGTAGTTTCTCTGTAGATTCTCTTTGGTCTTCTGTACAATGGTCTATTAATGACAGGATTTTAATTTCTCCTTTCTATTCCTTATGCCATTTATTCATTTTTCATTCTATCTTATTGTTTTGGCCGGGCTCCCCAGTCGCTGAATAGAAGTGGCATCTTTGTCTTGTTGCCAATATCAGGGAGAAAGCTTTTAATAGTTCATCATTAAGTATAATGTTTGCTGTATATTTTTAAAAAATGATCTTGA